AAAGACATGCATTTGCATACAAATAGATCATGCACGAAGCTCATTTGATAGTACAAAACCATATTCCTTTCTGCTCTCTTTCATTTTACGTCTGATTCTTCATTTTCAAAATATACTAAATATGAATTCTACACTAAATTTCCGAGGATCTTTCGATCAAGAGGAAGAAGATATGTTACTAGTCACGCAATTAAATAGTATTCGCATGGTCCCTTACGCTATGAAAACTGCCATAGAATTGGATTTGTTGGAGATTATGGCCAAGGGTGGACCTTTGGGGACTTGTATGTCACCGCTGGATTTGGCTTCCAAAGCCGCTGCAAAAAATCCAAACGCTCCAATGATGATCGATCGATTGCTACGTCTTCTTGCTGCTTATTCGGTATGTACTTGTAAGTTGGTGAAGGATGAAAATGGAAAAGAATTTAGAGTTTATGGAGTAGGAAAAGCCGGAAGAAAACTTATTAAGGATGAAGATGGATTTTCTATGGCGTCTACTGTGGTTAATCAAATCCCCAAAATTGAAGATGATTTCTGGTATGAATTTATTAAAAGCTACTGTTTTTTATTTTTATTTTGTTTGTCTCCAATTCAAACTACAAAAGAAACAAAAAAAATAGGCAGAAACCACCTTCATTCTAATTAAAGATGAACATGGATTTGATCTTTTAGAATTTTAGAATATTCGGATTCATAAAGGTAAAAATAACTTTCTAGATACGGATCTATTTATAAATTATACATGCGACTATATATCAAGATTCGTAAAGGTAAAAATAATTATATTTCTTTTTAAAAGATACAAAATGTCATATTAATTTTTTCGAATTTGTTTTCATAATAATTATATCATTTTTATTAGTGAAATGCTAAGAAAATAGCACCTTTTGTTTTTTCCCTTAAATTGACACAACAGATTTTGAAAGTCTTCGCAAAATTTGAAACAAAAAAAGATTACGAAAACTGTTGTAATTAAGACTAACTAAAAGTTTGTGAACGCTTCCTACAAAGCAAGTTCTGGTATCGTTGGATGACAAAAAAATTTCTCTAGATTCTATTTTCGAAGTATCCTTCTATTTATTATTTATGATAAAAAAAAATTAGACATATATGTTTTAAAATTATACTCAGGTTATCGATTTTAAAATCAAGATGGTTAGATGATAAAGTTTTTGTTTCTTTTTGTAATGTGGAGTAAAATGTTAATACAAGTTTCCTTTTGCACAAAAAGGTCCCACCTCACTGCTTCAATATTAGAAGGTGGATTAAAGCCCTTCGAGAGAGCCAGAGGGTCGTCACTTTTCGAGCATATGGCAAAGAATGAGAGTTTATTGACGCAATTCAACGAGATGATGGTTAACCACACATCATTACTAATGAAGAAGCTATTAAAGACTTACAATGGTTTCGAGAGTCTAAGTGATGGCGTTTTGGTAGACGTAGGAGGTAANTTGGGCGCAAATCTTGCCCGAATTCTTTCAAAGTTCCCACATCTCAAAGGTGTTAACTTTGATTTGCCTCACGTCATCGCAGAAGCTCCCAAAATTCTTGGTAAATTATTTTTATCTGCTAAATATATTAATAGTTTAACTTAAACAAATTTTTTTTTTTTTTTTGAGAAATGCCATTTTTGAAGTTCTACTTTTCAAAAATGCAACATTTTTTAAATCCTAGTAAAAATATCAATTTTTAAAAATTATTTACTCAATATATATCATTTATTTATATTTGGCTGTA